TTTTTTTTTTTTTTTTTTTTTTTTAGTAGGGGAGAATTTCGATTTTAACTTGATTTTTCGCCTCGTCTCCATCTTTTACTTTTGTATTGTAATTTTAATTTTAGATGATGTATGTTTATGTAAAAAGTAAGGGAATAAAAAGGAATGTGAATAAGTTAAATTGGAATAAAAACCTGAATAGGAATGTTTCGGTCCATCAAGTCGCATACATTCCTTGTAGTGTATAACTGGAAAAGTGGGGAATTCTGTAGCATCATAAAATACTGCTGCTATTTGTTTTCTATGGGTGAACTTAAAAGTTGGCTTTTCTCAGATCAGGGGACACTTTACACGCTTCTTTCAAGGCAGCGGAATGCAAAACTTATCAACGCCTGTCCTTTAATGGAAATACTGGCTGCCTTGATGAAATGCAGCTGATCGAGTTATCGTAAAAAATATGATCAAACGGAAATCGGGCGAACTTGAATGAATAACTTTAACCTGCCAGCATCAAAATAAATGGTGTGAAATTACAGGAAGCAGTGCTATTGGAGCGAAACCCACGACAGGCAGCCTATTCGCCACCGCCGCAACCCGAAAAACCGGTCAGAAGAGGAACCAAAAGAACTTCAAAAGCAGTAAGAACTGCACACTTTTATACGCCGATTGTCTTAGTTCATAGATTAAGCAACACGCGAAAGCTTCACGTTATTTTAGAATGAAGAAAATGAACCGGCGGCAACGTCACACGCCGAGGAAATCTCATCTCCGAAGGCAAAGAAACCGTGCGTAACGGAGGAAGCTGTCGGTGAAATGGACTTGATCGAAGAGTCGTTTTCTATCGAGCTTTTGGTATCACTTTTTGAGGATTCCTTTTTTTTTGTCTTATGCGATTTGCTATTTGAGGATTAGTGCCGGATTTTGACGCATCCAGCTTATCCGCTGTAATCGTCTTGTTGACGAAGTACAGTTGCAAGACTGAATAGTGGTGATGTATATGAATTAATGGACCGAAATATTCCTGAAGAAAAATTCGAGCCTGTTTCTCGCTTTTATTACTTATATATATATTTTTTTTTTTTGTAATATTTGCATTTTTCGATTAATGTCAGAGAAACTAGGATTTGCTGATTTTGCCGCTTTTATAGAACTTACTTTTATGCGGTAGTTTGTAGTTTGGCACTTATCAGTTTGTGTGAATATTCCAGGAGCAGGTCTTGCGTCATTTCGGCTGGATTTATTAGTCATTTGTCTGTAATCCTGGAGAAAAAATTATGTGCTTTTCTTTCCCAGTTCCTTGCTTTTTTCTTCAG